ACATGATTTCTCCTGAACGTACGCTTCCTTCTGGGAGGCCAGGGTTACACTGTGTGCTAAGGGAACGCTTGTGCGGATGTGCCCTGGTAAAAACCCTGGATTCCTCAGCCCAGGGGACCGTCCCCGGCAGACAGTGATTCACACATGTCGTTACAAGCCACTGCTGCAGAAATGCGGTACGGCTGTGTGACTCCGCTGGGAGGGGACCCTTGGGAGCCTGCGCCTGGTTGCCTCCAGACTTTTTGCCCCGTGTGCCTTTCACTTGACTGGTTTTGCTACGCATCTTTTCACTGTAATGAATCTTAGCCCTGAGCATGACTGTGTGATGACTCCTGTGGTTCCCCTGGTGAATCGTCGAGCCTGGGGCTGGTCGTGGGGACCCCCGAGAGTTTCCCTAGCTATGTAAACAGAAAAGAACACCGTTTACCTCACGGGGTTGTTGGGGCAGATCGAAGAAGTTTAAAGAGTAAAGACATTTTATAAACTGTAAAGAGCTGCACAAACATTCTTATGTTCAGAACTTTCAAATATATATATTCAAGAGCACCTGTGGTCCTGGATGCATTTAGGAAACGAATTCTAGAAAGTGAAATTTGGTAGTTTCCAAGATTGGGAAAACCCAATGGACAGATTCTTCCTGTTATCAAAACCGAGAAAGACGAAAGGAAACTAGCTGAATGATGGGTTGGCAGATGAGGAGATTATATGCAGGCCCTGGACCAGTATCGAAATGACAAAGAGGCAGAGGCAGGTTAGGTGGGGCTGTATCAGGAAGCTTTCTCAACAGGCAAGAGCTGTTGTTCACGAAATCATGGAGCCACTTCAGTAAAACTGATAACGATCAATCTAATTGCTTTATAGTTACCTGCAGATTTAAACTGCCACTAACATGTGTGTGCATGTCTGTGTGTGTACGCTCACAGAAAACATGAAAACATTCTTGCAAAAAAAGTCCAGATAATCTACATAAAGGGCAAGTCCCCTGGACTGTCCCAGAGCTGCCTAAATTCCACTCCCCTCTCCAGAAGGAACCACTACTATGGGCTTGGTCCAGATCTTCCAGACGTTTTTCCTAGACATTTACATATTCTAGACATTTATACATAGATGTAGATGCATAGAATACATATATAGAGAATTAATAATGTCTACATATATGTCTCGAAAATATCTAGAATATGTAAATAGATATAAAGTAACACATAGACACACACGGAAATGTGTGCATATGCATATGCGCCTGTTGGAACATACGAAAGATAAACAGAATTCCATTTTCTGTATATGCCACCACTCTGCCACTTGCCTTTCTCTTACTTGGTCTCAGAGATTTATTTTATCAGTGCATACATGGATCTAGCTCGTTCTGGATTTTTCCAAAACGAAATATTCTCGTACGTGCCTTGTGTGCACATACACGTTCAAGGTTTTTCTAGGGTAGACGCGAGCAGAGTCACAGGATCCTGGGGACACACACCGTCAATTATAATAGATGCTGCCAAAGCGCTTGTCCCCCCGCACCCTCGTCAACATCTGATTCGACTACACTTTAGTATTTTTACCGATCGGATGGTAAAAAGTAGTGTCTCTTCAGTGTGCGTGCCACGTGCAGTCAATAACTGTCTCACCGATGCCGCGAAAGGAATTAGTCAAATATTTGAGTCCTGGCCTACCGTAACTCATGGTTATCGTCATTGATCAGAACCTACCCCCTTCAAGTTTTTCTATGGCAATGCTTCACAGTGATGGAAAAATACTATCTAGAACAAAAAAAAATGACCTCTATTTCTTGGAAAAAGAGAGACAGTGACTTAGCTGTGATTAAAAGGTCCTGTTTGCATTACGAATGTATTCGCTCTGAATTTTCAGGTTTGGTCTCAAGGAGAAAAAGGACGAAGTATCTCCGTGCGGCCACAGCTATGGCTCTTTACTGGTGTCCCCTCCCTGTCCCCACGCTTCTAGGCGAGACCACATGGAGAGAGGGGTTAACTCCTCAGCCTCGCCACTAACCTTTTGTTTACCCTGGAGAGGCCAAAAGACATTCGACCTAAAAAAGCTGCGTTTTATATCTGTTAACGTAGAGGGTGGAGCTACGTATTTAAATTGCTCCCTCCCTGAAATCCCACGAAAATGACCCAAAGGGAGGGTATAAATCAACGAGGATGAAGAGAGACGCCAAAACATATAAAGAAGCTTTTGGAAAAGAAAAATAGTTGGGTGAGTGGCAGCTGTCTTAGCGGAGGAGAAATGGCTGAAATCTGACCCCCGGAGGACACGTGGCAAGAAGAAAGAAGCCGATGCACAGCGTGGACCGGCAGAGCGGATTGGAGCGTCCGTCCCTCACTGCAGACCCGCTGGGCTGGACGCAGACGTCAGGCGCAGGGAGGCCGGGATGCAGTGTCGTCCCGCTGGCAGGATTAAAGAACAGCCTGCCCGTGGCTGGAGAGCCTGCGACGCCCTTACTCTCTCTGGGTCAGCAGCACTGCCCACATGGGTCCAGGCAGGAGAATGAGGGGTTCCCGTCCCGGAAACTGAGCATACCGAGAGACACCCACGCGTGCAGGACTTCCCGATGGCTTTTAGTGCCTCGTCGTTAAGTATAAGTGGGCAGCCAGGGACCAGCACACATGGGAGGCACGGTTCTTACCTGAAAGACCAAAACAAACGCTAAAGGAAGGAATTCGGTGGAAACGGATGTGAGGGAGGAAGGAAAAAAAAAAAACCTCAACTAAATTTAATTTCTAGCCTTAAGAGATGAGCACGGTAGCCACTGTATCTTCAAAACAAGAACAGAAGTCTGGTAAAGAAATGATACAAGGACACTTTCCACGGAAGGAGAACACGAATTTCCAGATTGAAAGGACAGACTAAGCACCGAGCATCGTAAGTGAGAAAAGACCCCATAACACTTGGGGACCAAAAAAAAAAAAAAAAAAAAAAAGAAACGATCCTGAAAGTTTCCAAAGGAAAAAAATATACGGGTTAAATAAGAATCTGGAATTATAACGGACTTCTCAACAGCAACGTTGGAAATAGAAGACAATGGAGCAAAGGCGTCAACATTCTGGAAAAAATTTCCATTGTAGAACTCTAAAGCCAGCCAAACTCACGAGTGTTAACAACAAGAACAACAATTGTTTAAAACATTTTTCTTTCATGTCCACTTTCTCCGAGAGCTATTAGGGTTCCATTTCAGCAACACACGGCTATGATCCCAAGAACGAGGAGGAAAACGAAATTTGTTTCAACACTGACATGAGAAGTGATGGTCCCAGGCTGATGGCTGGGCCGTGGGCCTGGAGAAAGTGGCCAGGACAGAAGATCCCAGGAAGGATGTCTTCAGGAAAAAAGTAGACTGAGAAATTACCTGGTCAGCTTGACCCTATCGAGAGGAGTTTTATAATTCTGTCAAGAAGTTTGGAGAAAAATCGCAAGGTACGTAGAAGACTAACTAAATGAAAAACGAATGAGATTATTAACTCCAGGAAATACAAAAAGCTGTACAAGAAAGGAAATGGAATCGTATTATACTACAGAATCACAAAAATGTAAACACTAAATACTCATTTAATCGAACACCGTGATAGAATCGTTTTGATAGAGGCGAGGCAGTGTGCAGGGGTGGCTGTATGAGAGCTGTATTCCCATCTTTCATAAAGGCAAGTCAATGGATAATGCTTAAATTTTTAAATTAACATGTTATAGTACCAACTCTTTCTGGAAATAGGGAGGTAAATATCAGAAGAAACAGCTGAAGGAATTAAAGTAGAAGCCTAGGGAACAGGGGAGAAGGTAGGTGGGCAGGAGATGGCTTTTATTTTTCTGAGTATTGTACTATTTGACCTGTGAAAACGATATACATGCATTTGTTTGACATAAATAAAGATTAAGTTTTTAAAAAGTTAAATCGACTGTGATAATAAAAAGGAATTAAAAGCTCTATTGGAGCCAGCCAACGAATCTGCTTACCCGCATGGGTTTCTGCAGAATCTAGAGAAAGCTGGCAATAGCCAAGCCATGTTACGAACTTTACAGACATTGAAGTCACTTAGGTCCCTGAAAATGGCTATAAGGAAAACAAAAACGAAATCCAATAAAACTGTATTGGCAACTCGGTTATTATTTTGGAAGCAACTTCTTCCCTGGGGGTAAAAAGTGGCAGAAATCATCGAGTACAAATGCTTTTCTTGTTTTTTTTTTCCCCTGAAAGTTTACGGGAGTGGGTGGTAGAAATGCACGACTACTACAGGGATTTCCTGACACCAGCGTAGAACATTCTGGGGGCAGCAGGGTACAGCTGGATGGGAGAACACAGGGCTGCAAGGAATAGCGAGGTCTGGAGCAATGGTAACCTTGTGGAAAACCGAGAGCCCAAGACTCGTCTTTAAGTAAAAATCAATCATGTTAATTAGCAAGAGCCGCTGAGAACCACCGCGAAGAAAAAGCTGAACCATTCGCCAAGTCACGTGACGTGCACTCCAGGTCTCTTCATAACTGACACGCAGACCATCTACTAAGAGATGTATCTTCCTCAGAATCCCAGCACAGTCATTAAAATAAAATTTCTCCAAGTGGGGGCCATTTTTAATTATAACATTGTCAAACTATGTATTAAAACCTATTGCAGAAGGTGAGGTATCAGAGCGAATGAAACAAAACTACAGGTTCCCTGTCCCGAATGTATTGTTTTTTTTTTTAACCAACAGTGTAAAGTCCACTTGTACTACACACATTATGTTGTCTCGTCATCATCAAAAACGGTGTGCGTGTTTTCTTCCCACAGGGAAGGAGATGGAAGACGTTAGCGAACGCAGCCCGAGACTTTACCTGGTACTGGAACTGAATGGGCTGCAGTTGGCTGTCATTCTGCGTCATCTTCCTGGCTAGGGCCTCTTTCAACGCAAGGGCTTTATTCAGCTCGACCAGCTCCTTAGACATCTGAGCCTGACGTAGGGCGTGCTGGGTGGTGAAGGTGTCAGAAGACCTGCTGCTCTCCGGACTGCTGTCCACCAGCTGGAAAAGGTCAGGCTCATGATTTGTAGGACAAAGGAGCTACCGGAAGTCCCTGGGTGCGCTTCGAGTCTCGCGGCCTCCCCTCTCCTCGCAGTCCCGCTGTCCTTCTCAAACCGTGGCCCCTCAGACGTGCGCTGCACACATCTGACGTAAACTGGCCCAGCCCGCTACGCTGCTCTCACGAGCATCCGGGTTCTTCCACCCTATAACTGACTCTCTTAGAGCGAACTGAGTTTCTTGCTCTTTTCTTTATTGACCCGGCCGACATTTCTCACTTTTACTCATTCTCAGGGACCCTTAGAGGAGAAGCGGCTCTGGGAAGGACACGTTAGGAACGGAGGGGATGGAGAAGAGGCCTCGTTTCTTCTCACGGAGCTGATCTCCGGCACCTGATTTCTCTCTCATTTTTCTTGCAGAATAGGAAAACTACCGATATATAGTTGCTTTAGGGAGAAAACGCAGTCTCAGGCAAACCACTGTCTGTCCTTCCCTTTCGACTTTCCTCGATAACCTTTAGCCAACGTCTAATACACTTGCTCTATTCTTGCACCTTGAACACTCGAAATATTTTCCTTGGTTCTTTTAGTCCCTAACCGTCCCATCTACAGAAATGGATGCTGAGATAAGAATCTCCGTTTCTTCTCTAATGGTTTTTTTGATGTTGCCATAATTTCCCAATTTGTTCCCTCCCTCATTTTAACTTGCTAGAGAGCCGAGGCAGAATAGTAGCAGCTAACAAAGAATCAGTGAGCCAGACTGCAAATATAGAGTGACAGCCCTGAGCAGCCCCGCCACCCATCGCCGGCTTCCTATTGGAGATACAGCCCATCCGAGTCAGGGATGTCAAAGCTGAGATTTATACTTGAGATTTCTGGGTTTCCAAGGCATTCTGTGGGAGATGGTAGCAATCAGGGATTCTCTTCCTCAGCTGAGTGGCAAATGATAGGAAATGGCACAGTTGAACTTCCGGTTCTACGCAAAGGGGCCGATTACTTACAGCTTCCGGTTCCGCTGCGGTATCAACAGCTGCAGCCATGCAAGCCGCACTTTCCTCCTGCAATGACACGTGTTACAGTTTAGGCAAAGATTCGGAAGCGCTTACTAGTGGATCTTATCCTGGTCGTTAAATTTTTTTTTCAAGTGTATATGGAGACCTTTTAAGCTACTGGACCCGTTCTGTAGTCATAGAGACTCCAACAGCCACCTTTCCACGTCCCAGCTCTCAAGAGTATCGTTTTTATACAGGTTGATTGTGCGGTCTTTGTAAAAAAAAAAAAAGGGTCATGTGGCCACTGACATATCTATCGCACCTCTGCTGCTTGGCCAGAGGTCACTGGGCCAGAGTGAATCACTTAAGCATTCCAACAGGCCAAAGTCTAACACACTTTACAGACACATAAGATAAAGGCGAAGCAGCAGAGAAGTGAATAGAACTATGTTTGATTTCTATTTTACAGTCAGTCAAGGTAGCAAGAGCCTACCTCATAAGGAAATAAATACCACAGGGGATACCCCAGGAAAATGTGCTCACGAGGTCAGACAAATATGCTGCAGCCTCTGTCCCTCTCCTACAGAGGAACTGGTCCTACGCTGCCACCCCAGGCAGTGGTGAAGCGAAGGGACAGGCTAGGCGCGGACTCCTTCCCAGAGAAGGGCACTGGAACGAGCTCTAGAAGGGAAACCTCAAACCAGTTATTAAGGCCGATCTGTTTATAGGCTGTCATGTGAGCAGGCTCTGTGCTCCCCACTGAAATTCAGGCTAGATTTGGCATTGAAACACGGACTACCACTTCTGTTTAAGTGATTCTACAAAGCCCTGGGAAGAAAGGATTATTTCCAGAAAGTCACATGTTTCAAGGAGGTCATAGGTCATAGAAGGAGCTATTGGCTCGATAGCAAGGAAGGAATTTAGGGTTAGCACATGGAGTCTCTGCACCAGCCCAGTGAAACATTAGATAGTTGTTGAAACTTAAATCTCAGTACCTTTAAGGTGAGGAGCGAAGAGGCCTTTAGTAAGTGCTGGATGTAAAGGATTTCCCTTATTCCGCCCAGAAATTCTCAGCTAGTGAGAGTCAAAGAGAATTCAAAGGGAGCCCAGTATTCCACACCCTTTCTCACCATGATTTACGGCACTGCCAATTCTTAAGGGCGGGGCATAGTCAACCCTTCTTAGAAAAAACCAGAGACTTCATTACATGATAAGTTAATAGTTACCCTTTCCTCTCTCTCGTGTTGTAAGTTTTAGAAAAAGGACTAGTTATAGGCCTATCCTAGATTGGTGGGGCCTGTAACACTGGCTTTTGGAGATTTTTTCTAGTACCTTCCTGAGGGTCAGGATCAAAGTAGCCAGGTTAATACTTAAAGGAGACATGTCGTTACTGTGGATTTACCTTTTGGCTCAATGGCTTAAGCTTTGGTGTCATGTTGTACGTAAACACGGCACAATTCTGCCTTCCTAACCCTAATGTAAATATACAACAATAAGATTTCTTTCAATCCAACAGCCTCTTTCGCCGTCATTCCAAGGGTACAACTGGGAACCTTTCGTAAGGTGAAAACACATGGCTTGCGAAGGTGATGAGCGGGGAAACGAGGCTAGGGTCCTAAGCTGAGCTACGTTAACCAGCAACACCCTCACAAATGGAATCTGCTTGGAGGCTGCAGGCAATACCATGACTGGGCGTGCAAAATGCTTTTTTATGGAACCGGTCTTGGAGGAGGGGACAGAATCGCTGGAGAAATGACTTTGTGGGAACTGAAAGGACAGCATGAATTTCCTCACAGGTAAATGCCACAAGGAGGTTTGCTTGAATTACATTTTAAAGGAATAAATGGTACAGTTTAGCGCTTAAAGCCCCAGGAGGAAGATCTGGGAACAATGGTTGCCTTCATAACTAAAAAGGGGGTGTTCACCTGTCATTTGAAATAAAAACAGTTTTAATCTAGAATGAAGGGCACAGCACTTGCGTTGGAAACATGTGGCTTTCACTGCAGTGAGTCTTGATGAAGGCCACGGGGTACGCTGTTGTATATTTCCAAAGAAATGCATAGCTGGGAGGGTCTCCCGACAATGCATGTGAACAACTCTGATTCAGGGGTCCAGCAGGAGCCGTGGTAAAAGGCTCTGTTCTAACTGTGACAGTGAATAGAAGCCAGGGGCTTTATCAGCTTGCGGCAACCTTTCGCACCCTCCCGCTGCATGTGCCAAGTGATTTTTAGTGGCAGATACAGCGATTCCAGAGAGTTGCTCCGAGCCAGCCACCAGCGGCAACTTCCTGTGTGGCGCACCTGGCAGCAGCCACGTTGCTAGATGCTCACCGAGGCTCTGCCTTCTCTTATTTTAAGAACTTGGTGCGGCGGGTTTCCTTTTTCACCTGGACCCCTGCTCTAGACCGTCCTTTCCTCTTTGTGCGGTAAACTCATCCATGTTTTAGGCCCCGTGTTTTTCCACGCTGCCTCCCTAAATTCTCTAGGCAGTTCCTCGCCCCTTCCTTTGTGCTCCCAACGCCCTTCGCTCATGTTGCTGAGGTATGAGGAACAGAGCAGGCGTGAGAGGGGGTTCCTAGTTTTTCTGGCCTCCTTTCCCTTCCCCCTCCTTCTCCATCGAGGTCTCCCACCACCTGTGAACCATGACCAACTGACCAACTACAAGGCTTGCGAGAGGAACTCTTGACAATAACTGGACAGCTACCCGGATGGGACTGCTCTGCTGTTCTTCAGCTCGAGCCATGAAAACCGTAACGGCCTCCAGCCAAAAGTATCACATCCATCAACACTGAAAACTGCTACCTGAGCCAAAGTGCAGGTAACTCCCGGCGTCGAAGCAGGACCAGAGTATGACAGGTGCTCCCTGAGTGCATCGGCTGAGCGATGCCTGTAATCTCTTTCTGAGTCACTTAGATTTTTTCTTTTGATATAAAGCCACTGCCTAGCAAGGGTACACGGCTAGGGGGGTGGCAGAGTTGGCTTCAAACCAGGGTCTGCCTGGCTCTGGAGCCCAGGCTCTCTATTCCTGTGGCCTGTTTGTTGGATAAATGAACTGTCGGCGTGAACTGCTTGCG